ACTTCAAGATTGTGAAGAGTAATCGGGGCTTATTTTAATTTAGACCGTTGTTTTTTAATTGTTAAATATGCGCGTACACTCGATTTTTCAGCCGCCGCGGCGCGGCGCGCTAGAGTGCGCTTCTATCGTACTTATGCATAGTTTACATATACACTTACGCAAAAAAACCCGAACAAATCCTTGAAGTTTATTAACATAGTTTTTTCCATAATTTATTTATGTAGGTATTAATTATTGTCATTGGGCTAATTAAATAAATCAATCATCGCAATGTAATAACCGTATATAGTTTTTTTTCTTCCAAATTTGAACAATATAATTATTATTTATTGAGTATATATTTATTTATATCAATTGTAAATAATATTTTTAAATTATTATTTAAATAATACAATGCAGTAAATATTAATATTAGTAAACTTAATTTTAAATTGCGCGGTGTTTAAAAACAATATACTATCGCAAAAATTCAAGTTTTTACCTGTTTAACAATCGCGCGCTCATACTTGATTTGTTATTACTTAAACGATCATTAGGAAGACTATTGTTTAATGCCCATTAAAAGGGTATTATATTATTAATGTGTTATTAAAAAAATTTTGAATGGATTTAAAATGTCTTTTTCCGTACCTCTTCTTAAATGAAAACAACGAAGACAATTTAGTTTGTATTTTTTGTAATAACATCAACAATATTAAGTTAGTGCAAAAACCTAAAGTAGATTTTTACATAACAATACAAAATGCTGCTCTTCGACGAAAAGACAGTGTGACTGAAAAATTTAATTTAATCTAGCCAATATACCTTGTACCTCTGACGCACTTTACCAACACTTGTTAAGAGCTTTCGTTAAAACATATATTTGGCGAAATGCCATATATTCCCGCTATCAAACTCTCGATTTTAGACAATATGGATATTATATGTCTGAGAGTGGTGGGTTGGGAAACCGTGCAAATGCAAAAAGACTTGCAAAACTAATGCTTGCAACTGCAAGAAAAATCATGTCAACTGTGTACCATTATGTGGATGTGATTTAGATTTTTGTGAAAACAAAGATACTTTTACTGAGTGATATTAGTGTGTTATTTAACAATCTTTTGTACAATTATTTTATGTAACTATTATTAGACTTTAGACGAAATTTATATTATAACTCAATTGATATAAATAAATATATACTCAATAAGTAATAATTATTTGTAAGTATATGTAAACTATGCATAAGTACGATAGAGGCGCACGGTAGCGCGCGGCGCCGCGGCGGCTGAAAAATCGAGTATACGCGCATACTTAACAATTAAAAAACAACGGTCTAAATTAAAATAAGCCCCGATTACTCTTCACAATCTTGAAGTTGAATGTTTAAACTTTGATTTAGACACTTGGTAACCTCAAAAATAATAATTTACATATGTGTTTTCAAGCCTCAAAAATGCGTATTTTCGCGTTTTTCAGACTTTAAATCGCTTATAACTCGAAAACTACCAACTTTAGAGAAAAATGACAAGAGACTTTTTTTGTTTAAAACGGCCCAAAAAACCTAAAAAACGTTTTCCAGATTAAAAAAAAATTATTTTTGGACTTTGTTTAAAAAAATTGTTTAAACAATTTCTGCCCAAAAAATTCGCCCGGCACCCTTCAGATTTGTTTAAAGGGGACATTTTTGAACCGGAATCCGCGAAGAAACCGAATCAGAAACATTTTCCCAACGGGAGCGGCCTCACAGCCTGGACTAATTGTCAATAATGAACCGATAACAAAAGTTCCCCTTTTTAAATTAGAAACCTTCGAGATGTGGTTATATCGTAGAACACTCAGAATATCACGGGTTCAACACATTTCAAACAGAGAAGTCTTGAACGGAGTAGGTCAAGGTGAAGGTGACTTAATAAAGATGATAAAAAAGAGAAAACTGGAATATCTGGGGCATATAATGAGAGGAAGCAGATACGGGATAATGCAGTTGATACAGCAGTTGAAGAGGAATTGACAGAAAGAAATATTCATGGCTCCGAAACCTTCGTCAATGCACCGGCTTATCAGTAGATAAATTATTATATGCCGCGCAAGACAGAGAACGATATCGGCAAATCGTCATGGAAGCTACCCACGCCTAAAACTTGGGCACGATACTCAAAGAAGAAGAAGTGTAAGTCAATCTGGTTCAAGCTTATGCAAGGACAACCGAGAGCAATCAGAACTAATTGGTGCAATTTTATGTGGGCATTAAGATGGTAAAAAGATAAGCACCTGTGACCATATATATACTTTGAAAATCCTAATGGAAAATACTAACGAATACAATCTCCCAATATGCCTGGCTTTTATAGATTATGAAAAAACTTTTGATAGCGTAGAACTGTTGGCAATCGAAGAAGCATTAGTCAACAACCGGATCTACTCCAGGTACAGAATATTAATACATAATATTTACGAACAAGCTGAGAAGGAGACACAATATCTCCAAAATTAGTTACAGCTGCCCTAGAAGATATCTTAAAGGCAATAGACTGGGAAAATAGGGGAATCTCTATTAACGGAGGATATTTGAACCATCTTAGATACGCAGATGATGTAGTACTAATAGCCGACACGTGGAATGCACTGAATACGATGATTGAAGAGTTACACACAGAATCCCTAAAAAAAGGACTGAAAATGAATTTCAGCAAAACTAAACTAATATCAAACAAAGATGATAAATATCCATGGGACAGAGATATAACACGTAGATGAATATACATATTTGGGTCAAAATGTCAAGGTAAGCAAAGAAAATCAGAGTTCCTAAATAAGCAGACGTGCAAAAATGGGATGGGCAGCATTCGGAAGACTCTCATACGCACTTAAAAATAAAAATATACTACGAGCCAATGTGTTTAATTCCTGTATTTTACCTGTACTTACATATGGAGTTCAAACCTACACATTCACTAAACTAAACATGGAGAAGATCAGAAAAACTCAGAGAGCTATGGAACGACAGATGCTGGGTATCTCACTGAAAGACCATAAAACCAATTAAGACATTCGTAATAGAACAAAAGTAAAAGATGCTGTCGAACAAGCAGCTAAACTGAAATGGAAATGGAAAGACCGGAAAGGCGTTGGAGCGAAGATATTAAAAGAACTGCAGGGGAAATGCGTGAAACAACTTACAAACAACAGAGATTAATATATTATATTAATATAATAATGCCTATATTCGGCAATCCGAATAGAAAGAAGGGCTTAAAAAAAGATGGTAATGTATCAACTAAAAAATAAAGTTACTACGAATATACTTTAATGCCAAAGTGGGCAGAGATAGAGAAGAAAACTTTGTGGGCGATTTTAGTCTTGTAGGTGTAAGAAATTTTCAGATGCAAGAAGCATTCAATCAAATAGAATGAGCTGCACTTAAATAAATAGCGGGTTTAAAATCAATCAGGATAAAATAAAATGTATGCATGTATGAAAAAATGCAGAAATAAGACAACTACAAGATCTAACCAAAGAATACAATGAGAAGGTAAAGAACTTTACATAGTTTGGATAAGCAGAGAAGCGAATATTCATTGCCAAAAATGTTACCATGACTTCGTATCTATCATAACATTAGCTGTTGCATATTCTTGGCGTTATATCCTTTGGTATGGACGAAGATTTTGTAAGTCTTCATTACGATGGTGGCGTTTCCTTTGCCTGCTGGTAAAATTGTTGGAAAAGATATTGTAAAGACAAACGCGACCCATTAGCAACGGCCGGAGTATACCGAATACCATGCACATGTGGAATGGTATATGTGGGAACGACGAAAAGACACACAAACACAAGGATAAACGAACATAAAAGCCATTGTCGTTTAGGGCGTATCGAAATATCTGCCGTTGCAGAGAACATCGAATACTGTTTGAAGAAACGCAGATGCTAGATAAAACATCACAGTGCTGCCTCGGTTGTATCGTGAAGCGGTGGAAATATAGAAGCATCCAAATAATTTTAATTGGATAGAAGGACTAAAAATTAACAAAACATGGATACTAATATTAAAATCCACAAACGCCCTTTCTCCAAATCACGAAGAAAGAAAAGCTACAAACGACGACACGCCCCCTCACGTCGAAACCAGTGGAGGAGAGGCGAGTAGAAAATATAAATATGACCTCCATAGTACAAGTCAGTTTCAGCTTACAAGAGAAGCAGTAACATCTCCAGAAGATGCTAACCCATAGTGTTGGCGAAACCTCGAGAACTTATCTAAGAAGAAAACGGCCTAACAGCCCGAACAAACAGTTCAATTAGATTGGCAGAAGTGTTTACGCCTAACAATGCGAATAAAGATTACCTCAAGATGTCCAGATCAACGAAAAATATCCTGACTTCGAAACCTCCAAGTGTGGTATCATAATACATAGCTGATTTTTCCGAGCTGCCACAAACAATTTATTATTGCTAATATAAACATTCGATAGTATCGTACTATCGTCCACTCTGTATATATTTTTATCTTAATTTTATTTCATACTCGATGTCAAGTGACTATAAAATATCTAATAGTTTTTCATATATGACGTTGTCGAAATATGTACTATACTGTATGAAGCAAGCATAGACATTTTGATTCAAATGCTAGCATCTCTATATCAATGCATTTAGTTCGACAAAGAACAAAAACCTCAAGATTCTATTAATGGCAACATGTTATCAAGACGAACTGAAAACCACAGCAAAAGAAGATAAATGCACTTGCACATAAATCAAAAAATAATTGAACAAAAAAAATGAAGTGAACATTAAAGAAAATTGCCAGAACTTTTTTCCATAAATGGTATTGAAATATTAATGTGCAATCGAAGACAAGTCTGATTCACATAACTTATTTGATTTTTTTATTACCTTTAAACTTTTAAGTAGAATGTAAATACGAAATTGAATTAAGTAAAAAATAATAATAACAGTTCAGCGTTTTAAATAACCGTTCTAGCTTTTAAAATAATTCTGAATCTCTTCTTTAGGCAATCAAGCACCGGTAATGCAGAAAGCACAGCATCGTTATCGGCTTTCGCCTGTCACGTTTTAAGAGAAATTTGCTCTCAACAATGGGTGTTAGAAAGGTGTCTATCATCAGACGAGCTTTGCCACGTGGACAACCTTTTGGATCCACTACTGTCACACTCTCAGGCACAAAGGCTATTACATATGATATGTTATCCGGATGCCGGAGCGAGTATTGATTCTCTAGATCAGAAATCTATGATTACTCGAATATTAGAGGTAAGTTCAAATGATATATAAGTCTATAGCAAATTTTTTAATGACTGGTCTAGTACACAGGTGCAAAAAATTAAATCCACGCCTATTTTATAGAGAAGATACATTTTTACAAATGCCGCATAGATTGGGTATATATTTAAGGAGGAACATTAAATGTAAATAAAAAACACAAATTGTGCGAAAAAATTTATTTATTTATAAAAACATATGGCATTATTCGAAAACACAAAAAAAAGTGAAAAGTAGCTTTGTTGATAAAAAACAGTTATAACAAAATAATGTTTATGTAATTTTTTATTAATACTTAGTATATCCTCCTCGGGTCCTTATAACAGCGTGCCTAGGTCTTGGCATTGTGGTAATTAAATTTTGAACATGAAGTTGGTCCAATTTCTCCCAATTGTGTGAAGAGCTATCCTAAGCTCAGGCCAATTGTTTGGGTGGGGTAGTCGAACTTGAATTAATCTTTTCAGTTTGTCCCATAAATGTTCGATTGGATTGAAGTCGGGGCTAGAAGCTGGCCAATTCATACGGACAATCTCGACACCTTCTAAGTAGTCATTGATCATTATAGTACGCTGAGGACGCGCGTTATCGTCCATACAAATAAAAATAGGCCCTATTAGAACCTCCATCCACAAGAACTAAGTCAGTTCGGGTATCGGAACTTATACTAACCCAAACCATAAGTCGAGCTCTAAGGTATTCCACGAATAGCTGCGGACATAGGGCTGGTCTTGTGGATAATAAACACACCACACTAGTTTTGAGTCTGAACCTGACATACTTTTTTCCGAGGTGGAATTCGCTTTAAAAAGACTTAAGTTAAACAAAGCAGCAGGATATGATCTCATTACTGCAGACGTCTTGAAGCATCTTCCGGAATGTGGAGTGAAAATATTACTGATACAAAACATCGATTGTGCAATGAAATATGGCACACAGGCGTCTGGCCTGAGGATTGGAGAAAGACCATACCTCTTCATAAGAAAGGTTCAACAAATAATTGTAACAACTACAGGCTATTAGCTCTAATATCACACGCCAGTAAGGTGATCCTCTACATACTGCAACGGCGTCTAGAAAACTTCATAAGTTGGCAAATAGCACCTGAGCAGGCTGGATTTGTAAAGGGCAGAGGTACTAGAGAACAAATCCTTAATGTACGAAACATCATAGAAAAAGCCAGAGAATACCAGATCCCGATATTTATATGTTTCGTCGATTATACAAAGGCCTTTGATAATGTTAGATGGGACAAACTATGGAACATATTGACGACAATGGGTGTACCTAAACACTTGACTCACCTTATTAGCAAACTGTATCAAGATAACCTGGCATATATTCGAATGGACGGATATCTGTCTGACAAATGCACTTTGGAGAAGGGAGTACGCCAAGGATGCGTTTTATCTCCCTTATTATTTAACATCTATTCGGAGTTCATAATGCGCAGAGTTTTGGATGGATGGGAGGGAGGAGTAAACCTAGGTGGTGTTAAGATATCTAACTTGCGTTTCGCAGACGACACTACACTTCTAGCCTCTACTCCAGAAGAAATTACTAAATTATTAAAAAAACTCGAGGTAGAAAGTGCTAAATTTGGACTCATGGTTAACTACAACAAAACCAAAATCATGGTTATTGATCGCCAACAACAGTTTCCTGAAACCCAAACTATTGCGGGATGCGAGGTAGTCTCATCTATGATATATCTTGGAGCTCTAGTTAACAACACAGGCAGTTGTGAATCCGAAATTAGAAGACGCATTCAACTAGCAAGAGCAGCAATGAGTGAACTAAACGGAGTCTGGCGTGATCGTCACATTACTATGACAAACAAAAAGAGACTCGTTTCAACTCTGGTCTTTTCCATATTTTACTATGCATGCGAGACATGGACAGTCAAAGAATCAGATCGACGACGTATAGACGCCTTTGAAATGTGGACATGGAGACGCCTGCTTCGAATTCCATGGACGGCTCGCCGTACAAATATCTCGGTTCTGGATGAAATTAAACCGGATCAGCGTCTCTCCAGTACCGTTTACTCTAGAATTTTAAAGTTCTTTGGCCATATCCATCGAAGTGATCACAAAATGGAGCGGTTGGTGGTCCAAGGAAGGCCTCAGACTCAACGCCAACGCGGAAGATCTCCACAGCGATGGGCGGACATTACTAAAAAGCTTCTCAATAAACAGTATACTGAGGCAATACATATAACTGATGACCGCGACCAGTGGAGAAATATTATCAATCAAACTGTCTGAGCTGCTGAAGCCCAATTATGAACCACAACACATCTACTAAGATGTTAATGACTGTGATGATGATGAAATGAAAACAAACAACTGTCTCAAATGAATTTTTTTTATTCCTCCTCAGCCTGTTGGTAAGGTTGATACGTTTTTGAAACATCTTTTTTTTTTATTTTCCTATGACGAGAGGTTTCAGTTACTGCAGGCAGAGTAAGACTGTCAAACGATCTTTGCTGCTTTTGGCCCCTTTGCAAGGGTCTCCTTTCAAAACTAACGTTTTATCCGGTAGGCACTTAAAAAAATCCCTGTCTCATCAGCATTGTAGATATCATCTGTATTATATCCACGAGTCAAGTCTGGGAATTCAAATTCTACTATAAGCGCTTTTCTACTGTGTTTTTGCGACATAGCAAATACGAACACAAAATAAAAAAAACTTTACACTTCGATGTACTGTACGATAATCTTTAGATACTTTAGATATTGATCACAGTGTAAACACAGTGTCAAGCTCAACACTGCACTGACTGACTGATGGTTCTAGGGGTAAGGGGTGGGGAAGCAGGTCACATTGTTTTCATGTCTGGACTTGTCCGTGAGTCACCACAATCTATACTATCTATCTATCTATAGCCCAAAATCTATTCATGTGTTGAATATAGGCATCTCCCATTTGTCTCTGTCTTCTGTTTGTCTTTTCCACATTGGACCTGCGCTTTGTTCAATGTCATCTTTTCATCTCATTTGCGGTCGACCTCTTGACCTTTATGCAGTATATGGTCTCCAGCGGCCAATTTCTTTATTCCATCTTCCCTCCTGATATCTTTCGTTATGCCCAGCCCTTTTCCATTTTAATTTCAATGCATGTTCGACAGCGTCTACTGTTTCGGTTTTGCATCTTATCCACTCGTTTCTCTTTTTATCTCTCAACTATATTCCCAACATTTGTCTTTAAATAGCTCTTTGAGTTTTCTTTATTCTAAGTTACTCTTGGTATACGTCCACATTTGGGCACCATATGTCAGAACAGGTAGGACGCATGCATTAAATACCTTCGTTCTTAATTTTAAAGGTATTTTTTGGTTTTTGATAGTATATGAGAGTTTTCCGAATGCAGCCCACACCATTCTTATTCTTCTGGTTATTTCTTTAGTCTGATTACTTTTGTCTGCTCTGATAGCTTGTCCTAAATAAATATATTCTTGGACGTGTTCTATGTTTGCTCGACCTACGGTAATTACTGATCTGTCTTCTGTATTAGTCATTATTTTAGTTTTCTTTAGATTTATTTTTAGTCCTTTCTCAAGACATGTTTTTTCTAGGTCTGAAATCATTATTCGAAGTTGTTCCATAGTTGTTGCTATCAGGAGTACATCATCGGCGAATCTTAGATGATTTAAATATTTCCGTTTATACAAATCCCTTTATTGTCCCAGTCTATAGATTTAAAAATGTCTTCCAACGCCAGAGTAAATAGTTTGGGTGAGATTGTATCCCCTTGTCTGACACCTCTACAAATTCTAATTAACGGAGTTTGCAAATCTCTGTCTAGCTGAATTCTGATAGTGGCGTTTTGATATATATTGTGGATTAACATTCTGTACCGTGAATCTATTCGGCAATTAACTAGCGCTTCTTCCACTGCCCATAGTTCTATGCTCTCAAACGCTTTTTCATAGTCAACAAACGCTAGGTATATTGGAAGGTTGTATTCGTTGGTCTTTTCTATCAATATTTTAAGAGTGTGATGGTGGTCGGTTGTGCTGTACCCCTTTCTAAATCCTGCCTGCTCAACTGGTTGGTATGCATCAAATTTGTTGTTTAGTCTAGTTGTGATCACCTTAGTGAAAGTTTTATAGATTTGTGATAAGAGATATATTGGTCTATAGTTATCTAATTTTGATCTATTTTCTTTCTTATATATCAGAATTGTATTTGCCTTGTTCCACTCTTGCGGTATTTGTCCTTCAAACAAACATTTATTGAAAAGTATCTGTAGGTAGTCTTTTATCTTTTCCCCTCCTTCTTTTAACATTTCAATTAGAATTTCATTGTCTCCCGGAGCCTTATTTCTTTTCATATCTCTAATTGCTTTTTCTATTTCTTCTCCGGTTATGGGGGTAATATTTCAGAGTTTACATTCATTATTTTCTTTTTCAGGTTTTGTTGAGTTGTATCAGGTGGACTGTTTTTAGAGCTGTAGAGATCACTATAATATTGATCACCCTTGTTATCTTAGATATTTGGGTTCTGTTTTTTTCTATTACACCTTGTTTATTTTCCATCTCTATGATTTTATTTCTTCCTAGGTGAGACTTGATAGATCTTTCTGTTGATAGTTTCTGTTTTCTTCTATAATCTTCTCGATTCGTTCTTCTTGATGCCGTTTGAGATCTTGTTTTATATGTCTTCTTATTTCTGTATTAAGGGTTTTGTATTCAGTTCTATTTCTTTTATTTTCTTGTAGTAGGCTTCTTCGTTGTTGTAGCATGTCTAAAGGTATGGCACTTAGTTTTGATTTTTTGTCTGATTTTGCTAGTGCTACTTCTAAGCTAGTCAAGTTCTTTAGTGGTGGCTTTGTTTAGTTGATCTAGATTTAGGTCTGTTAGCTTTAGTTCTTCAGCTGTTCTTAATTTGTTTTGGTATTGTTCTTTATTCTCCTTTAATTTTTCTGGGTGGACGTTTTTCTTAGAGTGCACATATTCTCTTCGATCTTTTTTGTGTTTAATACTTATTTTAGCCCGTATCATTCTGTGATCACTACCAGTAGAGATTGAGTTTATTACTGTGACGTCTTCGAAAATGTTTTTTTTGTTTGTTAGTATGTAGTCAATTTCATTTTTAATGTTCCCATCTGGCGACATCCACATCCATTTCCTATGTGGCTTTTTCTTGAAGAAAGAGTTCATGGCAAATAATTTGTAGTTTTCTAGATAGTTAACCAATATATCTCCTCTTTCATTTCTTACTCCATGTCCAAAGTATTCAATACAGTTTTCGTTTTCTTCTAGTTTTTTGCCCATTTTCGCATTAAAATCTATACTAAACTACTCTAAACCGAGGTTTGGAACGTAGAAATGCGGAACACAGGGGTTTTGTGCGTTATGTAGGGGTTTGCTACACTCAATATTCATTATACAGGGGTTTTAATTTATTTCTGCAAATTCTAAAAATTCGTTATATCGAGGATTAAAACCAAAATAGTTATATAGGGGTATTTTTTACATTGAGTGTTATAGATGTTTAAAGGGAATTTAAAAATTGTTATGTCGGGGTTCGTTATATCAGGACTGCACTGTACTAATAAAAGTATAAAATAATGAGCAAAGAATGTAAGAACAAGAATATTTCTCATCTCTGCTTATTTTCCGCTGTATTATACATACTTTGGTCTTATCAGATACGGCGTAGACATGAGTGGTGAATATAATATGATATGTATGTTTTAGAATCTAGAACAATGGACACTTCGAATGTCAATCCTCGATCTTCAGTTAATGTTCGAACAGTTCAGTCCCAACTCGCCGGAACTTTCCCAATGGTTAGACACTGTAGCCAAAGCCGCCATCGACGTGTTTCAACTTAACGCCCCATACGAAACACCTGCCGTTGAAGAAAAGAAAAACGAAAAGAAACAACAGGCTTCTATCTGGTTGGTAGCACCTTTAGTTTCTAAACTACCGTCTGCCATCCAAGGACGTGTACTGAAAGTAGCAGGGCAAGTATTGGAGAGCGGAGGGTGGTGTAAAGAACAAAAAAATAAACTTAAAACTTGTGGCGGGGAAAGCCAAAGCTTGTTGACGCATCAGCCATTTTTACAGTTAGTTTTGACGTGTCTTAAGGGACAAGAGGAAGGGATGAGGGAAGGTTTATTGTCATCTTTACATCAACAATTATCACAGGTGAGATTCTTTTTGGATACTAACTAATTTAACTAATTTAGGTTAGTTCTCATGGTGTTAAGAAAATGGAATAAACAACTTATCTGGCACCTGCAAATAATAGCGAAAACTATCAAAAAAATTGTTTGTTTTAAAAAACGTTTTTACACAAAACACATATTTACAAAACTTTTACAAACATTTAAGTAAAATTATGTTATAAAATCATTACAGAAAATGTCATATTATAAAAATTCTGGGTTATAAATATACTTGAAACAAAACAATCGGTTGTGAATTCATAATTATTAACTTTAAACGACAGAACGTTGGATGTTAGTCTTAAAATGGTAACATATCTAAAGGTAATAGTATACCTGATAGGCGCTGGATTTTCTGAAAAAGAAGAGGCAAAAAGACATATTTTATGAAGTGGAAGAGATATATATCACATATCACGTATATAATGCAACTTATATCAGTGACGATGAATTTAGTAATATATTTGTAGTTTATTTAAAGTTAGCAATAATGAGTATAAGTTGCTCAAATTGTTGGTATCTGTATTTTATTAATGATTACTCCCTGTGGATAGGATTTTGACATTCGAAAAATCGAAAAAGTGTTCTGTTGTGTAATCATGTGCGGTTAGGGCGCATCTATCAGAGTGTAACCTAATGTCACTCTTGTGAAGAATCAACCGGCTGGAAACTTTTTGGGAGGTGTCACCTATATAAGAACCTTCAGAGCCTAAGCAATTAATTTGTATACAACATCACTTTTATCTGAGTTTGGTACTTTGTCTTTCAATGACTTGTGCAAAGATCCCACAACTGCAGTGTTTTTATAAGCAATTTTTACATTTGGTAAGTAGTGAGCAAAAATTCTGGTCAATTTGGGAGTGACATTCTTAATAAATGGAAGTGATACAAAAGAGATTTTAGGAATATCGTTAGTTAGTGAATGGAAATAGTAGAATACTACATAGAAGAGTAAAGTACTACATAGAATGGGTAAAGAGCGCGAACTAGTCGTAACCATAAAACGTAGCAAACTAGAATACATGGGCCATATAATGCGCAATGAACAACGATATGACCTACTTCGGACCATACTTCAAGGTAAAGTGCATGGGAAAAGAGGTCCAGGACGGAGAAGAATATCCTGGCTGCATAACCTGCGAAAGTGGTTTAACCCTTTATAGGTCTGTGGTCGATATTTCGACCACTGCTCTTATTAATACTTATGAGCTAGTAATTGACATGAAAAGTTACCGAAGTGCAAATTCAGTGTTTGTAAATGAATTGTACCCAAAATGAACACCACAGAACAAAATACGGCAACGTGGCAGCAATGTGGTCGATTCGCCAACCACAACCCATCATACTCTGTAAGTTACCGTTGAACGTGATCACAGGTTTTTGCCGTTTGTAAAAGTTAGAAAAATAATTTACAAAAGATTTATACATCAAACTCAAGGTAACACATCACAGTATTATGGTCTTTTATTATATATTCAGATTTTATTGGCGCTAAGATGATATATCTTGATTTACTAAACATAACCTCAAGTAGCACATGCTGATTTTACAATTGTTCTATTGAAATGTATTTTCACTCTTGTTTATTTTAAATCTATACAATTATATTCTTTTTTTACGTAAATCTGACTTACTTGAATAATATTTCCAAGAATTAAATTGCTGTGCGGTAGATCAAGTAATTAAATTTTTCAAGTATTTGTATACAACAATGTACGTATCTTTTGCAGTAAAATGGAACACCGCAATATACTTGAAAATTTACAAAATATGACTCAGGATGATTTATTTGATTACATAGATGGTATTCCATATCAACAAGCCATAAATTCAGATTTTGAATGTGATTCTGATGCAGAAGATAATCTTCCTATTTCCAACCCAACGTCGGTTGCATCCAACGCGACTATTACTTCATTGTCTAATGATGACAAGGTTGAATTTCTTGATGTTGATTCAGATGACTCAATGGATGATATAGCTTTCCACCCTCAGGTAAGAACAAATCGCATTTTTGACGACGTCGATACTTCCTCAGGCGAAGACGAAATAGAAGAGAACCAAGAGAACACAGTAAAGTGCGATGATACATATAAATGGAGAAAGAACGCTTCTGATGCACAAAAATATTCGAATGCGCCGTTTACCAGACCATTTGGCCCAGCAAAACCGGTCAATATAAATTCACCATTCGACGTGTTTTCTTTGTTCATGAGCAAAGATATTATAGCTAATATAATTACACAGTCAAATCTCTATGCTCAACAACAAAATCATAATAATCTCGACCTAACTGAGGAAGAACTGAAAGCATTTCTAGGGGTTCTTATAATCATGGAGTTTCATAAACTACCTAGTTTGAGACGTTATTGGTCAACTGATATTAACATGCACGTGCCAAGAGTTTCGCAAATTTTTACGCAAAAACGATTCTTAAAAATTCTTCGTTTTCTCCATCTAAACAATAACGAAAACATGGAAAGAAATCAAAATAACCCCAATTTTGACAAACTGTTCAAAGTAAGGCCTTTGATAACAGAACTGCAGCAACGCTTGCAAGAGAACTTTTACACAAGTAGAAATGTTGCGGTAGATGAAAGTATGATTGCTTTCAAGGGGCGAAGTTCTCTCAAACAATATATGCCGAAAAAGCCCATAAAAAGAGGCTTTAAAGTTTGGGTCGTTGCATGCTCCGAAACTGGATACGTGCACAAATTTAGCATATATGAAGGCAAATCTCAATCACAACATGCTGAATATGGTTTAGGCGCTAAAACGGTATTAGACATTACCGAGTCTCTTAGAGGCGCAAACTACTGCTTTTATTTCGATAATTTTTTCTCGAGTTTTCCTCTTCTTAAGAAAATGTTAACCTATGATTTGTTCTGCTGTGGAACTTTTAGAATAAATCGTAAAGGCTTTCCAACACAAATGAGAAAGGACAAAACAATGAAAATGGGAGAACACGATTATTTCATGTCCAATGATATGTCTGTTGTTAAATGGAAAGATCGGGGGCGCAAATGCGTTTTAGTCGGCAGTACTATGCATAATCCACTTGAGATTACTTCAGTTTTGCGAAGAAAACCGAATGGTGAACAAGAAAGTGTTAAGTGTCCAAAAGCCATAAGTGATTACAATCGCTATATGGGTGGAGTCGATCTATTCGATCAACTTCATGCTTCTTATCCAATTTCATGGAAATCCCGAAGATGGTATATGAAGATTATTTACTATTTGATTGATGCAGCAGTGGTAAATTCATATATAACTTATAAGACTACAATGAAAATGAGGTCCATTAAATCGAAACCAATGAGTCACCTGTATTTTAGAAGTGTATTGGCCAACGAGCTCATAGGTGATTTCTATAACAGAAAGATACCAGGACCTAAGGTAACAATAGGAAGAAATAAACTGAAGAAAATGGGAGCAACCAATAATTCTGTTAGCGTTGAAAGCACGGTGAGACTAAGCGATGTTGGCAATCACATGCCAGAAAAAAGAACATCAAGACGTTGTGCACTCTGTTCAACGAGAGCAAAGCCAAAACGTTCAAGTATTAAATGCTCAGATTGCCAGGTTGTATTATGTATTCAATGTTTTCCATTATTTCATAATAAAAATGTTTAATTAATGTGTTTTTTTCTATGGTCGATTATGGAACCACAACTACATTTACCAACGTCAACATACCTAATCAGGCCGTGGTCGAAATTTCAACCACCTAAAAAAACAACAAGGAGTGAAAATAAAACGAAAATACGAATGAAAGTTCGATAACGGATCATTCCTTATCTATAATCTGCAAAGAATTTGTTTATATTACCAAAAAATAATTCTGCCCTATAAAGGGTTAACTTAACCACTACCGGACTTTTCAGGGCAGCAGTCAACAAAGTCAGAATAGCCATGTTAGTGTCCAACATCCGTAACGGATAGGCACCATAAGAAGAAGAAGTTGTTTACGTTGTGAAGGTTCTTATATAGGTCACACCTCCCAAAAAGTTTCCAGGCTCTTCATAAGAGTGACATTAGGTTACTCCCTGATAGATGTTCCATAGCCACACATGCTTACACAACAGGACACTCTTTCGATTTTCCGAGTATAAAAATTCTATCTACGGGGCGTAATTATCCAAAAAGATTGTTTCTCGAGATGGCATTCACTTTTTCAAGAGAAATAAACCATTAATAAAAAGACAGATACCAACAATTTGAGCAACTTTTAATCATTATTGTTAACTTTAGATAAGTACAAATATATGTGATATAAGTTGCATTATATATGTGATATATAATATCTCTTCTACTTCATAAAATAAGTCTTTTTGTCTCTTCTTTTTCAGAAAATCCAACGCCTATCAGGTATACTATTACCTCTACATATTTTACCATTTTAAGACTAACATCCAACGTTCTGTTGTCTTAAGTTAATAATTATGAATTAACAATCAATTGTTTTGTTTCTGATTAAGTATATGTATAACCTAGAATTTTTATAATATGACTACATTTTCTGTGATGATTTTATAACATAATTTTACGTAACTGTTTGCCTGTAAAAGTTTTTTAAATATGTGTTTTGTGTAAAAACGTTTTTTAAAACAAACAATGTTTTGGATAGTTTTCTCGATTATTTGTAGGAGCCAGATCAGTTGTTTATTTCATTTTGTTAACACCAAGACAATTCACCTCAATATATTGTTTATTCTGTAATTTGTACTAATTTTGCTTATAGCACCCTGGTGATGCAAACAAAGATTTGCTAAAGCTTGATAAACTAAAAAGAGTACTTCTTTGTCCTGTCTTCCGCTGCATACCCAAATAGTGGTGTTGTAGTCTAAACGATCAGCGTTGATTACAAGCGTTTATCGGTTTTTCGGTATATATATATATATATATATATATATATATATATATATATATATATATATATATATATACAAATTCATACACAGACGGTTGCAAAGATTTTGCTAAAATGTAAACTTTGCATATATACATCAACTGTGGAGACAAGGACTCAATATAATGGGACTTTCATTATAATTTTTGGCGAAGTTCTTAAAAGTAAATAAAATAATATTTAATGTTTTAGCTCGTACAGCAAGCAAAAGAAGGAAACTTACAAGACGTCACCGGTACGGAAAGAACCTTAGATGGGCTTCAGTTACGTTTTGCTCTGGTAGGGGGAGTTTTCGAGGCGTTCCAACGAAACCCATCTGCAACTACCGACTGGGCTTTGTTGTTAGTTCAACTCGTTACTCACGGTCTTATTGATCTCCACACTCACAGTGATTTGTTTACTATTGTCATAGATATGTTGGCAACTTTGGTTCATTCTGCAAAAGCAACTGATACACAGGTAATTTTGTTTATTAGCTATTTATAACGTTGTTATAAAAATTGTACATCTTTTGATATACTTTTTTTTTAAATCGTAACTTTAGGGCACCAAAATGAATTTAACCTTTTACTGCATGATTTTTTATTTTTCGTTACAAAAAAGTTTGCAGACTGGATTTTCGTTATTTTTGCGGAAAAAATAATAAAAAACAAGTCTAAACAACTGTTTTTTTTTATTTTGGAAAAATATAAGTGTTGTTTATCAACAACATTATGCAAATAAAAATATACGTAAAACAATATTTAGGAAAAATGAAAATTTTAAAAAAGTTCTTCGTTTTAGTAAAGCAAAGAGAATAATTTTATTCCGTCCCGTATTGCTGCCCAACAAATAAATACCGCCCATATGACGGTTGTATAAGATTGTACATGATATGGACAACTTACTTCTTTTGTTCTCCTTTTTTCTTGTCATATCTCTTGGCAGTAGTTTTGGAACTTCGCCAGCGAAAGTCGATAGAAACGTGACTAATTTGTTATCTTTCTACAATGAGCTAATGATTTCCACACAATCGTAAGTACCAACAAACTCTTACACTAGTTCCCCTTTCTTCATTTTTTATCCGGAAGCTTACAATTCTTAGAAGCTTAGAATCCTATTCCTTCTTACGGTTCCTAAACTGTGAATACCTTGTTTGGAAAGATACAAGGAGAGGTATAGAAGAGTAATAATTGTCAAAATAAAGCCTGTGACTCATATTCCTAGAAATAATTCTAGCCAACCTCACAACATTTTCAGTTGCTCTGAGGTCAGTTTTAAAAGCAAGTCTCGTTTCTATTCTATTCTATAAAAATTCTATACGATACGCGTATCCAGAGCTACTGCATAAGACAAAACATTGAAAACCCCACAAAATTTATTTTAACTATTATCACTACAGCTTTTTCGGCTGATTGCCTTTCTCAAGTGATCTATTTTTGGCATGCGTTTACAATTTATAGTCTCTAATGAAATATGTTGAGGAGGGGAGAACTGTTTGTCTCAAGTTGGTCATTCAGAATTATATCTGTGCTTTTTAATTTGTTGATTTCCATAGATTCTAACAAAAGTATAGCTTAAGGCCTTTATTTTGAATGTGAAGAATTTTAAATTTGTCATTAAAAGAATGATTATGATCTAGAAGGTGAAGTGCGTATGTCGAATCTGTTTTTCTATTATGGAAAGCCCCTTTATGTTCTGGTGTTCGTTTATTAAAGTTTCTACCAGTTTGACCGATGTAAGTTTTTGGGCAGTCGCCACATTGAAGTTTGTACACACCACTATTTAAGTGTTTTTTATTTTGGCTCTTGTTATTTTTAATATATTTGCCTAGGTTGTTATTTTTTCGGAAAGCTGGTGTTATTCCTTTCTTTTTTATGTGTTTGGATATTTTTGTTGTTATTTTGCCTGTATATGTAATCGAGCAGAAGGTACTGGGTTTTTTCTGTGGTGGTGGAAATACTAATTTCAGGGCTTTCTTGTGTAGTTTTTGATTTAACATTTTATTAATTGTTTGTTCGTTGAATCCGTTGTTTACTGCTATTTGCTTAATTATATTTAATTATATTTAGATATGCATGATGTTGTTTGTAAACAACAACAAAAAACATAATTATAAGAAAAATATGCGCAGTACTGTATACCGCAAGACATCATGCATTTTACTTACCTTATTAACACGTAAAATATGTTTACCCAAATGACTTTGGTAAAACTAACAAAAATAATCTGAAGCCATGTCAGTGACTAGTCGTGTATACTACCCAAGAAGACAAAATATTGGTAACCAACACCATATATGATTGTTTAATCTACTTACGCTGATTAATACTGCATTGTTAGTGAACAATGTGCCCAAACGAATTCATCTTTATCTGCTATTAAAATAAATGTTTATATTTAGTATGTTGTTTTTAAACAACATAATGCAGTGAAGGGTTACAAGTTAAGTAATACGAAAACTAGTTATAAATCTTCTTCTTATGGTGCCCTATCCAATTAGTGGATGTTGCCGACAATTTTGGCATACTCCTCTCGATCTTGTGTGGCTCTAAAAAGTGCATGGACATCGAGGTTTGTCCAATCCCTTATGTTCTTAAGCCATGAGTATTTCTTTCTTCCGATGCCTCGTTTTCCTTCTATCTTCCCTTCCATAATAAGCTTTAAGAACTGGTACTTGGAATTTCGAAATATATGACCCAGATAAGCAATTTTTCTTCTTTTTATTATTGACAGCAATTCTCGTTCTCTGCCCATTCGATTTTAATACTTCGACTTTCGTTGTGTGATCTGTCCAGGGAATTTTAAGTAGTCTTCTAAAGACCCATACTTCAAAGGCCTCCAATCGGTTCATCACATTGGCCTTTATGGTCCAGGTTTCTACACCATATAGCAAAACTCAAACTTCAATATCACCGTCCTTCTGTCCTGTTTGATGATTGAAAATCGACTTAATTTTATAGTTTTAGTTTTCGTGAGTAGAAAAGAGCAGACGAACTAGAGTAACTTAAGCTTTACGAAAATATTTTTGAACCTGGTAATTATAGGTGGTATTAAACAATAAGGTGATTAGGGAAAAATAGTACTTGGTCTAGAATTAGATCTACTCTTAGCAGATACTATCGTCTCTTTCTACTCTTATCGGACACTACCCTTTTTTTGAGACACCCGTGGCATTTTTTGATTACAGTAGTATGAATCTCAGATGATCCGTAGTTTTATAAAAAAAAAATTAAGAGGTGTAATGTTGGAATTTTAAAATTATATTTTATATCGTTTCTAAACTTGATGACGGCCTACGATGAAGATTACATTGGAATTTCTCATTTAAAGGGATTTTTTATACGATATATACATGTATTTCCTTCCAATAGTATTATAATGTTAATCTGATTTATATTAATTAGGACGATACCAGAAAAATGTATCCCAATCTTCTTAAGAAACTGAAAAAGGAAGTTGGAGAAAAACAGAACGCTTCACTTCAACACATTCGACAATTACTGCCCTTGTTAAGAGTACAAACTGAAGTGATTGCTGTTGAACCTGCAGGATCTGGTAAAGGAAATAAGATGAATTTTGACAGTGTCGACAAAAAACATGATTTACAGGTAAGCAAAACATTAATAAAATGTAGTAGTACATTGAATTATCGATGTATTAACGGTTTTATCGTACCAACTGACATTAACTTTGCGCATTTAAAAAATACTACTAAATGATACGTCATGAAAAAGGAAAACTTGCTCTAGAAATGTATTATTCTAAATTAAGTAGATAGCAATTTAGTCCCAACTTCACTCAAGTACAAATAATTCTTCTCCGATAGCCATTCTAGTCGGAAAAGTGAACGTTACGGTGGAAGGCATATTAAAATTCCGGTTATAGAACTACGTACTAGTGTCGCCCAGTGCTCGGTCAGAGTGACCAATGAGCACTCTTGGCACGCATCGCCCCGCCTTCCCTCCTTTTTCAATTTTATAATTTTCACAAGGAATCTACGTTCCTGTAGTTGGCTGTATACCATGTATTAAAAATTTAATTAATAATCCTTTGTAATAGGTATATATTTAAGGCCCAAACGGGCTAAGTTAAAAAGACATAACGTTTTCGGAAACCATGTTCCATCATCAGTGTCCTAGAAAATAATTAACCACTTAATTAAAAAGAACATAGGTTAAAATTTTGACTAAGGTTAATGAAAAATGTGGTTAATACTTACTAGGAGTACATGAATGTAGCCACCAAGATTAAATATATGGGTAAAAACCCGTTAACAGATGTTTAATTACATTTAGTTTTAAAAATACGTTATAATAATTTAAGATTATAGAGTTACCGATGGATTAGGTAACATGGCGACATATGACTCCACGTTGAAGTTGCTAGTCCTGAGACGGTATGTCTTCGAGGACTGTATGAGTGCAACTGATTGGCAATGACATTTGATGACAATATTGTTAAGTTATGACGGAAATTATCACAGAGCAGTCAATGTAGCTGTATGTTTCTACTTAAGACAAAAGCCAACGTTATTTAAAATTTTGAAAATTAAGTAAACTAATATAACAGTATCAACCATCAATGTTGTAGTTTTAAATTTATGTAAATAAGATGATATAAGGGAGAAAAAATTGTATGGTTGTAGTTAGGCAACCAACTATGCATGTATGTAGCAATGTAATATAGAAAAATTTTTATTATATGGCCCTTTATGTTTCTTAAACATTTGGTACCCAGAAAATATAACTAGACACATGTGGAAGGTTGAATTTTAGAAATTTTGGTGTTAATGGTTGGATCTAAATGTATTTTAACACCAAAATTTCTAAAATTCAACCTTCCACATGTGTCTAGTTATATTTTCTGGGTACCAAATGTTTAAGAAACATAAAGGGCCATATAATAAAAATTTTTCTATATTACATTGCTACATACATGCATAGTTGGTTGCCTAACTACAACCATACAATTTTTTCTCCCTTATATCATCTTTATTCATCATTTACATAAATTTAAAACTACAACATTGATGGTTGATACTGTTATATTAGTTTACTTAATTTTCACAATTTTAAATAACGTTGGCTTTTGTCTAAGTAGAAACATACAGCTACATTGACTGCTCTGTGATAATTTCCGTCATAACTTAACAATAATCAGCCCTATTCTGTAACTACAAATCGAATAGAAATGAGTCAATTCGAGTAGAGGTCAGCAAGTCGGATCGGAATTTGTAGGAATCGGTATTCTGTAACTCATCTCGACCTCTACTATCGGAATGTTGTGTAGAAATTGATTTCGACTAGACAAGCTCTGTCGAGATCAAATTTCGATATCGAAATTGGTCTTGACGCTTGCGCATTGGTTGTTTTGACATTTATTTGTTGACTTTTTGATCTAAATTAGCGGTTGATTAATTTTTGTAGCTACTTCATTTTTTAGTCTGTGGTGTTATTTATTTAGATAAAGTTTACTAAATAATTTAACTCAGCAAATGTCTTTTTCTTTGCTTTCCCTCTTGCCATTTTGTATTCTTGTAACGAACTTTTCAAACTTAACCAAAACATGTCAAAACTACTTGACGTGAAATATAATCTTCTTTTTTGATGAATTTTTCGCGAGCACTAGCCTTTCCAGTAACTTAACGTCACAGAACACTCCTTTCGCGTTTCAATGCGGGGTTGCCACCAACTTCTGAGCGCGTCAAGTAGAAGTTGACGTTTTCGATTTACACCGATTACGATGTGAGTTACAGAATGCCAATCCAAACACAAAAACGACGCGATAGATATCCAACATTCCGATTTCGAGTAATTACGATTCGACTTGGTGATTTCTATTCGATTTGTCAAAAGTTACAGAATAGATCTGATTGTCATCAAATGTCATTGCCAATCAGTTGCACTCATACAGTCCTCGAAGACATACCGTCTCAGGACTAGCAACTTCAACGTGGAGTCATATGTCGCCATGTTACCTAATCCATCGGTAACTCTATAATCTTAAATTATTATAACGTATTTTTAAAACTAAATGTAATTAAACATCTGTTAACGGGTTTTTACCCATATATTTAATCTTGGTGGCTACATTCATGTACTCCTAGTAAGTATTAACCACATTTTTCATTAACCTTAGTCAAAATTTTAACCTATGTTCCTTTTAATTAAGTGGTTAACTATTTTCTAGGACACTGATGATGGAACATGGTTTCCGAAAACGTTATGTCTTTTTAACTTAGCCCGTTTGGGCCTTAAATATATACCTATTACAAAGGATTTTTAATTAAATTTTATAATTGGTCTTTTGGCTTGGAATCTTTGAATTTCCAGCAAAAGGGAGAGTCTACCTCGGTCTCTCCTAGAGCTCTAAATTCTAGGAAGCCGATCAGCGGTGCTCTGCTTCACCTACCTGCCTTAGACTCTGTGCCTTTGTTTGTTGTATTCTACAATTAGCGTTTTATTTCATCATTCTTCGTTACAAGTGCATTTCAGCATCCCGACCTGAAGAGGGATAAGTTCCTAGGGTATCGTGCACTTATACACGAAACCCTAAAGCAGAGCGTACGGAGTGGGAGACGGTATTACCGTCAAATTACCCCCCCCCCCTCCCACCCCGAGACGACACTAGGGCGGTCCGATAAGTATTTATGGAAAAATTAAGATTTGTCAACTTAGTTTCGTTTTAGCTCGATATTCTTGACCCATCGATGTTCCAACTTCTTTAACCCGCTTGAAAAATACGTTTTCTCGAGATCTGCAAAGTAGACGTCCATGGCAGCGATGACCTCCTCATTCGACTTGTGAGTTCCTGTGAGTCCCTCTTTCAAGTTTGGAAACAAAAAGAAGTCGTACGGTGACAAATCTGGAGAAAACGGTGGATGGGGTAATTTGTTTGTAGCCCAATTCGAACAATATCGTCATTTCGATGGCTGAGGTATGAGCAAGGGCGTTGCCGTGACCTGTGAGTCCGTTTGCACAAGTCTTGTGACCGTTTTGCTATTCTCCAGGTAGTCGATGTCGATCTCCCCTTGCGAATCCCAAAAGATTGTGGCAATCACCTTTCCTGCCTAGTATAGTCTTCGCCGTTTTCGGTGCACGTTCGTCGGGTGGCGTCCACCATTTCCACTGTTCTTTGGTCTGTGGTGTGTACCAAAGGATCCATGTTTCGCCGACAGTTATGGAACGACGTAGAAATTCCTTTGGATTCTGCTCTGAATTGGTTTCACTCTGAATTTGATGAGCAAACGCTGCACCTATCGCGCCCACATCTTCCTCATGCCCAAAAATTTCAAGATACAGATAAAAATTGATTTTGTCAGTTTTTTCCCCCTACGAGGGGACGTTTTACGGAGCAACCGGAAGGATAAAAATGGTAGACTTTTGTGCATATTTTTTTGGGATTCCAAAACTGACATTTTCAGCAAAATTTAGCTTGTTATTATGACGTCTAAGAGGTTAAATCTCTGAAGACTTTACTACAGGTAAAAGTACATACATTAAACTACTTGAAAACATTTTTTTTTCTTTTTTTTTTTTAAATGGCGATTCTGAAAATGGCTGCCCAAACTCATCCAATTTGTTGGTGGTTGTCATTATTTCTTGGAAACGAATCGTCCAAAAAAACAAAATAGTTTTATTAATCTAATTTGCTATGGTAAGTAGTACAATGAAACATCTTGATAAGTGAAATAACTTCGTAATACAAGTGACGGCAGTTTGTATACGGTATTAAATTTTTTTTGCATCTCTGTCAGCCCCATTGCCGCATCTATCCGGCATTGTTACAGTGCCATCAGCCTCCTATTGGTACGTTCGAACAAGCATTGTGATGAACCCACTGCCGTATTGATACGGTATCTTCTGATACACGGCGTTTCAGTAACTGCTGGGTATGGTAGGGTTTTTGGTCTATTTTTAGCATGCGTCTTGTACCGCAAAAATCATGTTAGCATGAACTACGCAGTATTCCGCTGCTACTGTTGCAGTGCAAATGTATTGTGAAATTTCAAGAAAATGTCTGATTCGACAACTAAATCCAGACATAGAAATAAGATGTAGAATAGCAATGACTAAAACTACTTTTATGAAAATGAAGTCATTTCTTTGCAATAACCATCTCAGTTTAGAACTAAGGCAAATAATGGTTAAGTGTTATGTTTGGTCTGTACTTTTGTATAGTGCAGAAGTGTGGACGCTAAAAGTATCGATAGTGAACAAAATTGAAGCATTGGAAATGTGGGTTCATATACGAATGCTGAAAATACCTTGCACAGCAAGAAAAACTAATAAAGAAGTACTAAGGAGCGTCAACAAAGACAGAGAACTGCTAAAGACTGTTAAACATCGAAAAATGTCTTATCTTGGACATATAGTAAGGGGAAGTCGATATAAAATTTTACAACTGATCCTTAAAGGCAAAATAGAGGTTCGTAGAGGTGTAGGAAGAAAAAAAGTTTCTTGGTTAAAAAACATTCGTGAATGGACTCAGATACCAAATGCAGGACAATTATTCCATATTGCAGAAGATCGAGAAGCCTTCGCAATGGTGATCGCCAACGTCGGATAAATCTGATATGGCACGCGAAAAAGAAGAAGAAGTCTGATTT